AAGTTCTGGGGACTTGGGTTTGAATCCCATCATGGCAGATGGTGAAATTGGAATTCAATAAAAAATGAAATTAAAAAGCTAGCAACGTGGCCACCACCTAGTAGTGTAAAACCATGTTGTAAAAACCCATCTGGTTCACTACCGCCTTTTTGGATAAGGAAACTCTTTGTCTTCCTTACCTGAGCTGGCCAACATGTAACTCCAGACTCTCTGGAATGTGGTTGACTCTTAACTGCCCTCTGGGCAATTCGGTTTGGGCAGAAAATGCTCGTCTTGCCTAGCACTCTCATTCTATGAACAAATAGAAAAATAACTTTAAGTAACTTTAAGCACTTTTAAAAGTTCTGTAGTAGGGCATTCAAAGTTACATACAGTTCTCAAATTTAGTTCAATAGATGCTTCTACTAATTTATTATTGTTCATTTATTATTGTATTTTATGCTCTTATTTTTAAGACCCAAAATGTTTGTCAGAATTTGGGTTTGTTGTCATTTTAATTCACTGAAAATTTATTGGGTTTTAGTTCTGCTTAAATGTTGAATCTTTAAAACAAAATGAGTTCACACATGTTTAGGATGTAAGGCCACGACATAGGAACAGAAGTAGCCATTCAGCCCAGTGAGCCTGCCCATCATTAAAGATCATGGATGATCATCTTCTAAATGGTACTTTCTTGCATCATCTCCATGTTCCTTAATATCATTAGTCTCCAGATTGTTTTGTCTCAAATTTGCTGAGTTTGAGATATCAGAGTCCTCTCTGGTAGAGAATTCCAAAGGTTTGTTACCCTTTTGGGTGAATAAACTCCTTCTCATCTCATGCACAAATGACCTGACCCTTATCCTGAGATTACGGTCCCTAGTTCGAGTCGCTGGCCAGGGAAATCATCCTATCAAATCCATCTTGTCTTGTTCAATAAGAATGTTATAAGTTTTTCAATGAGCTCATCTCTCATGCTTCAAAATTCTGGGGAATACTGACGTAATTTCCTCAATGACCTCTCATAAAATCACCGTCCCGAGAGATTAAGCTGCTGAACTTCTGTTTAAATCCCTTTGTAGTAAGAATATCCCTCCTTAGACAGGGAAATCAAAACTGCACTTAGTACTCCAGGTGAGGTCTCATCAAGGCTTTATACAACAAGAGCAAAACATCTTTACTTCTGTGCTCAAATTCCCTTGAATGCATGCCAACATACTGTTTGCCTTCTGAATTCTTTACTGCATCTGTGTGCAAACTTTTATTGACTCACAGACAACAGCGCCCAGATCCCTTTGAACACTTGCGATTCACAACTTCTCACCATTGAAGAAATATTCTGCCGCCTTTTTCTGGCGAAGTGAATATGTTCTTTGAATGTAACGTGAATAAGTATTCATATCTGCCATGTTCTAGATTATTCACTTAGCTTGCCCCAGACCTTTTGAATCTTCTTTATATGTTCCTCACAATTTATATTCCCACCCAGTTTAGTATCATCAGAAAACTTGGAAATATTACAAATTGGTAATTGACCCCTACATTCAAATCATTTAAATAGATTGTGGACGGTTGCAGCCCGTACACTGATCCTTTGCAGTACCCCAGTAGTAACAGCATGTCATTCTTGTGAATAATCCATTTATTCCTACCAGCTGCTTTCTGTCTATTAACCAATTCTCACTCCATGTTACTATATTACCCACATTTCTAAGTGCTGTAATTTTCCTCACTAGCCTCCTGTGTGGGACCCGATCAAAAGCCTTCTGAAAATCTAAATGCACCACATCCACTGGCTTTCCTTAAAATAGAGAACAAAAATATTTTATGTTGAAAGAAAGTAAATGGTGGTCAAAATCATGAGCTTGCATCTTGTTCAGCTTCAGGCACTAACTTGTTTCAAACTTCACGGGCTTGTGTTTCTTGAAACTGCGATTTGAACATGTCTTTCCAAACACTTTGCAGCCGAAGAAGCACTTTTGAAGTGTTGTAATGTAAAACTTAATGGTACATTTTAAGGACAGAAAATGATTTTAGAGTAATTTTCTGGTAATATTTCTTTTGGCTATATGTTGATTGACATGTTCCATACTTGTTCTGTTGTTTAGTGTCATATTGTATCAGTTAGAAACTTCAGGAAAACATCTCCTAGGGTGACAAAAATTTGCAAATATGCACATATCACATCTGAAGTGTGATACATTACCTGTGATGAACAAAATTACACCAGACCAACAAAGACTTGCATTTATTTGGAGATTTTTCACGACCACTTGACATTCCAAAGTTCTTTACAACCAATGGTCTACTTCTGAAATATAGGACTGAATATTTTCAAAAATATTATACATTTCCTCTTAAATGTCTCAATTGAAACTGCCTCCACCACACTCGGGCAGTGCATTCGAAATTCCGACTACTCTCAGAATGAATAGGTTTCTCCTTATGCCTCTGTTGCTTTTCAGTCATCTTAAATTTGTGCCACCTTGCTCTCTATCCTTCCATCAATGGGACCTGTATTTTTCCTAAGTATTCTGTCCTTGTGATTTTGAATACCTTTACTAAATTTCCTGTCAACTTTATTTAAAGAAAAAGAGTCCTTAACTCCACTGTGCCTTATCCCAACTGAAGTTCCTTATCACTGAAGCCATTTTCATGAATCTTTCCTGCACTTTATCTTCTTTTTTGAAGTGGAGTACCCAGAACTGGAAACAGTACTCCACTTGAGACCAGATCAGAGTTTAATACCAGTTTACATAGCCTCTATGCTTTTGTATTCTGTGACACTCTTGAAATATAGGATTTTGTATTACCTTATTAATCACTGTCTAAAGTGTCATCTTAAGTAACTCATGCGCACAAACTCTGGTCCCTCTGATGTAAATACTTCAAATCCAAAATAAAAACAGAGAATGCTGGATACTCAGCTTGTAATGCAACATTTGTGAAGAAAAACATAGTTAACATTTCAGAACTGGTATACTAAATCTATTTCTCTTACAGATGTTGCATGACCTGTTGAGTAATTCCAGCACTTTGTGTTCCATACATGTTCTGAATGCTCTAAAACAACACTTGAAAGTTCTCTGAGCCAATGAAATGGACTGCTGACTTGGAGGTTAATACTACATTGTCACTTGATTTTTGGGTCTGTTAGTATTTTAAGCGAGTGAAGAGCAGAATGTGAGCGGATGTATTGTGCAAACACTGTGTCCATCCCCAACAGGCAGATGCAGTGTTACGAGGGTAGGGTTCTTTTCCGCTAGATTTGATCTGCACCTTCTTTGATGCAGGCACCCGCCTGGGATGTTGCTGAATGTAACATCAGAAAAGCACTGTAACCATGTGTATGGGAAACTCTCTGGATTTGCAGCATGACCAAATAGAAATACTTCATATAGGTATTGGCATTTCATGTGTGAATAATGTAATTCACACTGAAGTAATTGTATTTTTTTTCTATTCCATGTTTTTTAAGAAAAAATGCATAACCAAGGAATTTTACTGATGTCATAAACTACGAAAGGTTTAAATGATTTACAGATGTTAGAATTCCAAGATTTAAATTGGCCTTGATGTTCTCTTGATTTATTCACTGGAAGTGGGTGTCATTAGATAGGTCAGCATTTGTTGCCCATCTGTAATCTTAAGAAGGTAATGGTGAGCTGCTTCCTTGAAAGCCTGCAGTCGATGCAGTTTAGGTACATCTACAGTGCTGTCAGGAAGTGCTGTTTTAGGTTATAGGCACACTATGTATGTTAAAAGTATTTATGTAGCTTTCTTTATTATGCTTTTGTGTAATCTTAAAAAATGAGTTTAATGAGCAGCCCTCTTGATCAAGGACAAAGGGCACTGCATCAGTTATAATACTGAACTTGATTGTGCACTATTTTGTCTCCCCTCTAATACAGTTTTTGTAGTATACCACATTTTACGAGTAGGTTTCTAGTGTTGCAAACTTTAAAACTAGGGATTTGAGCCAACAATTCACGATAGTTGCCTTTTGAGGAACATTGAGAGAATGCTGCACTGTGACATACTTCAGAGATGTTCCATCTCCTTGCTCAAATGGATGTACCCCATGGGACTAGTCAAAGAAGAGCAGAGGAATTTAGCTGTGCACAAATTAGTTGTCATGTTTCCTAAATTAAAATGGTGACTACTCTTCAGACATACTACATTGGCTGTGAAGCACTTTGGAGTGCTCTGAGGCTATTGATGGTGGAAGATAGATGGTCACTTGGGCATGGACCAGAAACCATTTGAGATGACTAAGAACGAATGGTATCAAGAAAGGACAAAAAATTAAGAAAAATGTTCTGGAAAAAAAATTTACCTTTTAACCAATTTGAATGACTGAATTATAATGCCAAATACCTATATCAGAGTAATAGTTCTTTAGAAAAGAAAGAACTTGCGCTATATAAAGCAAGTTCTTTCTTTTCTAAAGAACTATTACTCTGATATAGGTATTTGGCATTATAATTCAGTCATTCAAATTGGTTAAAAGGTAAATTTTTTTTCCAGAACATTTTTCTTAATTTTTTGTCCTTTCTTGATACCATTCGTTCTTAGTCATCTCAAATGGTTTCTGGTCCATGCCCAAGTGACCATCTATCTTTCACATGTCTCAGCAGTAAGTGTTGTCAGACTATTGATCTGAACTGGTAATCATAAGTCAGCTTGATTTTGACATTCACATGTACATATTTTCCTGCAGAGGGCAAGAGTAATAATCAGACGAGGAATTGTTGCTAATTTCTCCCCCTTGCCCAGTATGGATGTATTGAGACCAGTACTAGCATCTGGTTGTGTGGATTAATTATGTATGGAGCCAGTCTATTGTACGTTTGATTTTAAAAAAAAAAAAGCTAGTGCTATGTAGCACAGATTAGCTGATTTTATTTTAGACATGGGTGTAAATACAAGGAAGTTCATGGTTCTTCTTCATTAGCAGATCATATTGACTGCATTTCGGATGAATATTGAGCACTAAATTCCTGATGGCTGTTGTTTTGCAGGGACCCCCTGGTGGTGGAGGGCCTCCAGGAACTCCAATCATGCCTAGCCCAGGAGGTAAAAATAAGTTACCTTGCTTGCTTTTGTTTGCGTTTGCCATTCTAAGATATTGCTGCATTTGATGAATAATGAATGAATTCTGTGCTGCCTTCTGGACTTCAATGGCAAATATTGAATCGAACATTTTTAGATTTTATACCCAAGTTGTTAGATTACCTGACTACGAGGACTCAATGGGAAGTAAATGAGTGCCATTTGCCTTAATTTTAAAGATTTATTGCTGCCAGAACATAGCATTTTGTGAACATTTTGAATAAAAATTTATTCATTTTGACTTGAACAAGTACCATAAGAGGTAAATTTGTCATTTTGTTCGAAGTATTAGGCTCCATTTTTTGATCACGTGCCCATTGCAACCACTGGAGAAGCGGAACACTTTCTTGTTGTCGTTCTCACATCTGAAAAATACTTATTATTGACTCCTAGCATTCCGTCTTTGTGGAGTTTACCAAGCTCCCTTACCAGTAAGCATAATCTTACTGACAATTATTTTGAAGTGCCGAAGTTCAACTCGTACTGACCAATCAACTGTTATTTCACAAGAAGTTCTGGTCGAAAAGGTCAGTTGTTAAACTCATGCAGGTGTCACAAGAGTTTGAGAATGGAGTTATCAACAGGGACATGTGCACTCCAAAAGAGCCACACTCTCAAAGATTTCACTTAGATTTTACAACTGATCTTCCTTTTTCGCAAACTGGCATTCTTAAAGCAAATAAAAAGCTAGTCTAATGGTGACGATGTAATGATCCACTGGGTTCACTAACGTCCTTCAGGGAACAATATATGATGTCCTAACCTGGTGAGAGCTATATGTGACTCCAGAACCACCACAATGCAATATGCTCTTAACTATCCTCTGGCCAATTAGGGATGGGCAACAAATGCTATGCTAGTCAGTGACATCCACATCGCAACAATGAATGAATAAAAATCATAAATTGAAAGCAAGCATGGAAAAGCATACAGTTGGAAACTCAGTTCATAAAAACAAACATAATTGCACATATAACAGAATCTTGCAGACTCCCATTGACAGTTTTGCAAGTTCATCTCCCAGCCACAACATCACTGTAATTTTACATGGAGGGATTGAGAGCTGAGACTGCTAACCCACACATGCCATAATGAAGGCCCTTGAATGACCAGTTAAGGGCCACTCCTCACTCTGGCCTCAACTGTGATGCTGAAAGGAAGGTTTCAGGGCTGCAAACATGCAGGTTTTCATTCTGTTTGGACCTTTTACAGCAAAGAGAAAGAGCTGGGCCTCGGGGCTACCTCCAATTAATGGTCTCCTTTGCACAACAAGCAACACACCACAAGATAGAGTTCTGCACAGCTTTGATCCACCCCTCTCTCTGGGGTCGGGCAAGAGCGTTTGGTCATTGGGAGTCAGGGGTCAAGTCAGGGATGGGGATTGGAGGGATGCAGAGGATGGTGGTGGAGGTGCTGTTGAGAGCAGGAGAGTTGGGGTATTGGCTATGGGAGTCGGTGGGTCAGAACCTGATAAACTTTGGGCTAGGGTGGGAAGCCACATGCCATGGTAGATGAGGTGGGATGGTAGATGCAGGGATGGGTGCCCATGGCGTTCAGGCAGGAAACCAGGGAATGAAGTCAGTAGTTACTTATGGGGGTCAGTTTAATTAGTTATCCAGGAGTTAGAGCAGGTTCTATTCTGCCTAATATTTACTGGCTAAATATTCAGATAAATGAGTCAGAATCATAACTGTCTGACTCCAACCAGGCTTTTTTGGAAGGTTCTAGATGCAGATAATTGCCCATCAGAAGTTTGTTTCCTGGACAATTTCCACAGAGTCGGCTGCTTTAAGATTTCCACATGTAACTCCAATTTTCACTTCACTGACAGCTGTTCCTATCAGAAGATCTGGGTCAATAATTCAGAAGAACTGGCACCGACACTTCTAAAAAACTATCAGTTTGAGGGATAGAGGATTTGGTCTGAAACCTATTTTTAAAGTTTTAATGAGGACAATTATGAAATCGGAGTAAATTGGCAAATTAGAGTAAGGGATAAATGAACAGAGATAAAGTGTCAAATACTAAAGGGGATATTTCAGAATACACTAAATGAATATGTTCTAAAGCGCAAGACAAATTCCAAGTGATGGATCAACCATCCATGGTTAATTAGAAAAGTTAAAGGTAATATCAAACTTTTTAAAAATGCCTATAATTGTGCAAATAGGAGGCAGGTCAGAAGATTAGACAGAACAAACAAAATAGGAAAAATGGACTAAAAAATTAAAATGGATGTAAAAATCAGAGTGAGAGAAAATGAGTCAAAATATTAAAATGGTAAGAGTTTCTCAATTTTCAAAAACAAGTTAGTTAACAAAGTGAAAATTGGTCCAATAGAAAGTGAGTCTGCAGAACTGATATCGGAAAATAAGGAGATGGCAGATGAATTGAACAATTTTTTTTGTATCGACCTTCACTATAAATGGTGCAAGTAATGTGTGGTGTGCTTTTGGGACCTCAACGATATATGATTTCTATAAATGACATCGATGAAGGAACAGAAGGCATGGCTATCAAAACTGCTTTGATGAATTTTGCGCACATGATGGGCCAAATGGTCTCATTGTGTGCTGTAAACATTCACGAGTGTATAGATGTGAGGATGGCATAAGTAGGCTACAAGATATTTTAAGAAACTGGGTTAACTAAGTGGACGAGTAGCTGGCATATGGAGTATAATGTGGAAAAATATGAAATTGTCTATTTTGGCAAGAAAAATAAACAAAAACATATTATTCAAATGCTGAAATACTCTACAGCTTCAAAATACAGAGGGATCTGGGTAACCTAGCACATAGTACGCATGTATAGCAAATAATTAGAAAAGCTTGTAAAATGTTATCATTTATTACGAAAAGAATTGAATTCAAAACTAGACAGATCAAGTTTCACTTATACAGGGCACTGGTGAGACCATATCTGGAATACTGTGTACAGCACTGCTCACTTTATTTGACGGAGAATGTAAATGAGTTGGAAACAGTTCAGCCTGACACCTGGTGGTTGTCTTATGAGGGAAGGTTGAAGAGAGTAGGCGAGTATCTACTAGAGCTTTGAAGAGTAAGAGGTGATTTGATTTTAATTTTTTTTTATTTTGTAGGACATGTGAGTCGCTGGCTGGCCAGCATTTATTGCCTGTTCCTAGTTGTCCTTGAGAAGGTGGTGGTGAGCTACCTTCTTGAACCACTGCAGTATAATACACTGAAGTCTTAACAGGATGATGTGGGAAGGATGTTTCCTCTTATGGGAGAAGAACTCTGGGTCACTATCGCTGCCTCGAAATAGGAGATGTTGTTTAAAAATATTGGGTCATCCATTTAAAGCAAAGCTGAGGCAAAATTATTTTTCTCAGGTAGTCATGAGAGTACGGAACCTGCTTTCTGAAAAGGCAGTGGAAGAAGAACGGTGGATAGATTCTTAGTAAAAAAAAAAAAAGGTGTGAAAAGTTATTAGATTGGTGAGACTGTGGAATTGAGGTTACAATCAGATCTTATTGAATGCTGAAGTAGGCTTGAGGAACCAAATGGCCTACTCCTGCTCCTTGTTTGTATGTTCGAAGGGGAAAGGGAGCAATTAGTTAACAGCAAAAATCAACTATACCCTGAGCACTAAAAGAAGCAGTTATTGGTTTATTAGTCACTTAGTAGTTTCTTTGTGATAGTAATTAAAAAGACCTCTGGAAACATGAACTTATAGTGATGTTTGTGTTGTGGTTTGCGGCACTGCTTCTCAAAGTATGGACTCTATGCATCCAGGAGCAACCTCAATTAAACCTACCAGATTTATCATAAATATAATGTTTCTTTAATTTTGATTTTATCTTTATAAAATTGGTAAAGTTTCCACATCACCAGATGCCTCAGGTGTACTGATTGGTTCTAACGTTGTCCTGATACCCCCTCACCGAATTAAAATTAATGGCAATATTCATGATCCTCGATTGAAAGACTCTGCTGTTTTGCACTGCCTAATGGCTCCAGCCAGGAGGTCCAGTGTTAATGAAATACTAATCGATATAGAGGCCATCCCTGTAGAGTACATTGTCTACGCTTGGAAGAGATTCGAGGAAAGTCCATCTGCTGCTGCTGAAGCTTGGCAAGTAATACAAGTTTTTCCAAATCCCTTTAATGAGGGCTGGACTTGAACCAAATTTGTAAACTGAGAGTGGGAACATCTCTGCTTAATCTGGTCAAACTCATTTTCTAATCAATGAATCATGGTTTCTGTTGTGTTTTATCCATCCCCTGCTTTCCATTTTTTTCACTAATGTCACTTTCATCTACCTTTTCTAGGAAGTTCTTCCCTTTTTTTAACATTCGGAAGTACCTAGCCTCATGTCTCATTGTCAGGTTTCATCCTTCCCTGTATGCTAAGTATTTCTGCTTCAACTGCTGAGCCTTAACTACTTCAATAAGAATTAAATGTTCAGAAAATTTAAATTATGAATTGAAAAATAATGTCCATGAATGACATTAAATACAATCTGTAAATATAGACTTTTTGCTATTTATATTGACTCAAAATCAAACCAAAAGGCTGTAGAACAGAACCCTACAACACATTTACAAACCTATTTTGATTATGTCATAATAATTTGACAAGGTGTGAAGTAGGGCATAATAGATTTCAAGAAGTGCACTAATTTATGTTGAGTGCTTTCACTTTATCGCTGCCATTAATTTTAGTCTATATCCATTAAAAAGGCCGTGCATCTAGGAATTGAAAGGAGAATATAGTAAAAAGGGAGCTTAAACTTAATGGATGCAAACTAACGGTAGAATTATCTGGACAGCCAGATAAAAAAATTCTAGGAAACCTAATCAAAACATCAGGAAGCTTATAATACTTACACAATAAATCTTTACAAATAAAACTTTACAAAAATATCAGACATCTTGAGCAGTAAGAGTAATTCTGTGGAAGGCAGATTACTAAAATCTATATTCACCATGCTACTACTAGTGAACTTTGCTATATGCATGAATAAGTTGGAATATAAGCCAAATAATGGAAGATAAATTAGTGGCATTGGAGAAGTGATTTCTGAGACATAATGGTGGGGATTAGTTGAGTAACGCATCCAACTAAAGAGTTTTGTTGCAAATGGACACATGAAATGTTGTTGCAGTTGGTCACCAAGAAACATCCACCATAATTTAGTCACATACTTAGGAGAAAGGAACTATTACATCACTGTGACTGATAAAATTGAGAGCAGCTGAGCAGAGGGAGACAAAGGAGGAAATACACTGACAACGAAGAAGGCAGAACAGATGATGTTTCAAGTACAACACTATGATGTTGGTTGTAATCAAGGACCATGAACATTGGAGAGCCATTATTTTATCGTAAACATTAGCAATTCATTATAAATGTTGTAGCACTTGAAAAAGACAAGACTTTGGGCTCAGAGTTGGGAACAGGGTGAATGGAGCCTGAAAATACCAGCGCTGATTGGTGTGCTGGTTTCCCAGTCCCATTCCCTGCTCCTTCCATTTTTTTTTGTTTTTGCTTAAGCAGGTTCTGAACGGGGGTGCCATCTGCCCCCACAGGGCAGATGGCCAGTCTTGAGAACCTTGTTAAGATCTTGAAGGAAACTCAATTTGATTCACTCCAGTGTTGCAAAGCTCTGGGAGCAATTTAACTGCCTGGTGGCATGTATCTAGGGGCAGCCCACAGAACCAGCTCCCAATGTTCCAGGAAGCTCATTCCCATCTGCCTGGATGCATGCAGCCAGTTACTGTAACGGGAAGTCCGACCTTCCCTCCTCCACTGCCCCACCGACATACAGAATACTGTTTTCATAGTAGTGGTCTATTGTTTTTTTCTCTGCTTTCTACTTTAAGCTTTGAAAAGGTTTGAAAAAGCTTGTCTCCATGTTGAAACACAGTCACAGTTATTTACCCTTCATTGCAGCCTTCTGTTCCTGACATGTTCTAACAGTATGCAATCACTGCATGGCTTTTGAACTACAGTTTATATTTCCTTAGCATTTTGTTTTAACAAGGAGCTAATTGTTTAAGCATTGTTTACACCATTGCTTTCCAGTTCTTGTCCTTTTTTTTTCTCTGTACAGCAAGTACTTTCAAGATTGGTTCCTTCCTTCAGTATCTTTACCAGTTCTTTTATCACCCACTGCCTCAATTTCCTAAAAGATTCAAAACTTTTTGGATCTGTTTTCATTGTTCTTCATCCTTTGCCACTAATTTGGAGATCATATCGCAAATTTCTCATTACGAAGCTAGTTCTCTGTACTTGGTAACCAAGGAATGACTGAAGATTGAATCCCATTTCAGTACTTTGTTAATTTGTTTACATATAGCAAACAATTAATACTTATACTACAGAAGCATTATGGACCAACACTTGACAGCCAGCAACATAAGGAGATATTAGGCCAAACAGCCGAAAGCTTGGTCAGAAAGGTAGATTTGAGGTAGAACCTTATCAAGAAAAGTAGAAATACGGAGATGTTTACGTTGGGAATTTCAGAGCTTAGGGTCTTTGCAGCTGGAGGCTGGCCATCATTGATCGTCCAATTAAAGTACGGGATGTACAAGAGACCAGAACTAGATGAGCGTAGTTTTCTCAGAGAGTTGTCAGGTTGGCAGAAGTTAGGGATAGGGTAGGTAGAGGCCATGCAGGTTGAATGTGGAAAACTATGAGGAGTGCATTGGAATAATGAAATGTGAAATTAATCAGGGCACGAATGAGAGTTTCAGCAGCAAATGAGCATCTACTACTATCGTTATTCCTGAGAGATGGACAAAGCAATAAATTTGTATACTAGCACCATAAATGTCCTGTGATAATCTGTGAAAAATCACAAGAATTTTTAACGTGTTGTATTGCTGATTATTTCAGATTCAACAAACTCCAGTGAGAATATGTACACAATGATGAATGCTGTACCTCCTGGGGCCAGCAGGTCTAATGTAAGTGAAACAAGCATGAACTTTTAATTTAATTCCAATTTTAATACAAATCTTCCAATTCATTAGATCACCAAGATGTGAAATGTGGACTTGTGCTCAAGATCCACAGTATATGAGTGGCAATTTTTATCTTCTGGGTATAACAAT